AACCAATCAGATGGCAGTTGCTTCAATGCATTTAGGGGTGTTGTCCTGGTCAAGACAATCTCCTGAACTCCAAACTGAATGTCAGAATGGGAAAGAAAGGTGATTTAAGCAATTTTGAGCATGGCATGGTTGTTGGTGCCAGACGGGCCGGTCTGAGTATTTCACAATCTGCTCAGTTACTGGGATTTTCACGCACAACCATTTCTAGGGTTTACAAAGAATGGTGTGAAAAGGGAAAACCATCCAGTATGCGGCAGTCCTGTGGGCGAAAATGCCTTGTTGATGCTAGAGGTCAGAGGAGAATGGGCCGACTGATTCAAGCTGATAGAAGAGCAACTTTGACTGAAATAACCACTCGTTACAACCGAGGTATGCAGCAAAGCATTTGTGAAGCCACAACACGCACAACATTGAGGCGGATGGGCTACAACAGCAGAAGACTCCACCGGGTACCACTTATCTCCACTACAAATAGGAAAAAGAGGCTACAATTTGCAAGAGCTCACCAAAATTGGACAGTTGAAGACTGGAAAAATGTTGCCTGGTCTGATGAGTCTCGATTTCTGTTGAGACATTCAGATGGTAGAGTCAGAATTTGGCGTAAACAGAATGAGAACATGGATCCATCATGCCTTGTTCCCACTGTGCAGGCTGGTGGTGGTGGTGTAATGGTGTGGGGGATGTTTTCTTGGCACACTTTAGGCCCCTTAGTGCCAATTGGGGATTGTTTAAATGCCATGGCCTACCTGAGCATTGTTTCTGACCATGTCCATCCCTTTATGGCCACCATGTACCCATCCTCTGATGGCTACTTCCAGCAGGATAATGCACCATGTCACAACGCTCGAATCATTTCAAATTGGTTTCTTGAACATGACAATGAGTTCACTGTACTAAAATGGCCCCCACAGTCACCAGATCTCAACCCAATAGAGCATCTTTGGGATGTGGTGGAACGTGAGCTTCGTGCCCTGGATGTGCATCCCACAAATCTCCATCAACTGCAAGATGCTATCCTATCAATATGGGCCAACATTTCTAAAGAATGCTTTCAGTACCTTGTTGAATCAATGCCACGTAGAATTAAGGCATTTCTGAAGGCGAAAGGGGGTCAAACACAGTATTAGTATGGTGTTCCTAATAATCCTTTAGGTGAGTGTATATATATATACACACAAACTATGCACAAAAATATTCCTTTTACAAGTGATATATACCTCACATATTTCATCTAATGCTCTTCGATATCATAATTTTAAACATATAATAATTATCAAGATTTGAAATCCGGGTGTGGGACAAGGTAAATAATAATACTATCTATATATACAAAATATATTAAATATAATATATAATAATATATCTAATTTTTTCTGTATATTATTATAGCTGTCTTTCTGGCTGTACATTACATATTAGACTGGACATTAGACTGGGTATAATGATGATGAAGTGTTTGAGCTCTGTTCTTCAGGCTGAGAGAGAGAGAGAGAGAGAGAGAGAGAGAGAGAGAGAGAGAGAGAGAGAGAGAGAGAGGTGTAATGTGACGGGGTCCGCACTAAACTAACAGTGCTCTGATGTCTATACACGGATTAATGGTAAACAGCCTCTTCACCCGCTGCAGGGCCACTGGACAGAGTGAGAATAAATCATTCATTTCTCATAAAGGGACATATCTGGGCTAACAATGAAAGCACATTTCTATAACATTTATACCGATGAGAAGCAAGCTTCAGATGGATGCAAAGGAACTCCTTCTTAAGTTGTTTAAGTCAAATCCTTGCATTTTATAGCCTGTGGCCAGTGTTTCAACAACAACTGAACAAAGAAGAGGAAGCCATGTATTTGTGGATGTCACCAAAAAGGTTCATTCTTGAAATGTTTTGCATAGTGTTATGAATCAAAAGGCAATCTTTTTCCCACAGAGCAGCTTTAATTACAAGCATCTGGGGATGTTTGTGTGCAAAGCAACATACTTTCACAGAAACAACAATTAACCTCAAACGGAGTGATAATTTTTCTGGAAAAGCAGGAATTAAGGGAAGTCAATGGCTACGAGACGCTATCCCAGAGCAATCTTTTCTAATTGGTCCCCATAATCAAATTTTCAGCAGTCGCCACATTCTGCAGCTATTTTTGACAGCGAAAATTGTCTCGTTAGGAGTATTAGAGGATTCATAATGTTTTATGCAGTGCTGTTAATTATGTTTTCCATTTTTTGATTAAAAATCTTTTTTACTCAAAAACTAGGACAGAAGCGACAGAAAACAGATTAGTCTGTTTAGAACCCAGTCAAAATAAACATTTTAGAAATTGACCATTTGAAAATGACAGAGTTTCATCAAGGGTCAAATACAAACAAATCTGAGCTTTGCTTTTATGTGCATGCACACACAGTTGATCAAGGTTCCCATAAAAATATGAAGCAGCACAACAGTTTTCAACACTGATATAATTATAAAAACTGTTTCTTGAGCAGCAAATCAGCATGTTAGAATGATTTTTAAAGGAGCACGTGACACTGATGCTGAAAATTTAGCTTTGCATCGCAGGAATAAATTACATTTTAAAATATAATTACAATATAAAACACAAATATTTCACAATATTACTGTTTTTACTGTATTTTTTAATCAAACAAATGCAGTCTTGGTGAGCAATCAAACCTTTCAACGGTAGTGGATGCCAATATGTGTGTGTTTCTGTTTCTCAGCCCCCTTTAATGTGCCTAACAGTGGTAAATAGCAGGGGTTGGACAAAGTGACAAACTGAAACACGAGCCAATATAGTGCTGGATGTTTCATGCCTATATTTGTGCAGCCTGGTGGCCAATCTTCAGTGATTTTACATTCCATCAGTAAGAGCAGAGTGTGAAGGTTGAATTAGCAGAGCAATAGCACAGCTGTCATAAAATATAGCAATCCACACAGCATAATGTTAGACATTGAGTTCAAAACATGACAAATGGTTGGCATCTGTGACCAGGACAGCATATCTTTGTGGTGTATCGAGAGCTATGACATCAGGGTGATTTCGACAAACCAAATCCAACAGGAGTAACTGTTGACTCAAGAGGAAAGGGATGTCCAGGTACTAACCTGCATTTTATCCAAAAACATAAAACCACAGCTGCCCAACTCACTGTAGAATTAAATGCGCACATCGACTCTTCCTGTTTCCACTGTTCATCAGGAGTCAATATTCATGGTCGGGCTGCTATAACCAAACATTTGGTCAAGCGTGCCAATGAGCCAACAGTGCAAATCTTGGGCTGTGGACAATGTGAAACATGTCTTGTTCTCTGATGAGTCCACCTTCACTGTCTTTCCCACATCCGTGGGAGTTATGGTGTGGAAGGAGGCTCAAAACCCGGACTGTTGTCTGTCCAGAGTGAAGTGCGGGATGGATCAGTGATGGTTTTGAGTGATCAGGAAGGGAAATTACAAACCTGCGCACATATATTCAAACGAATATAGAATCAATTTTTAATGCGCATGTGAACGCCATCAGGTCACAGGTTCGCGTTTAAAGTCTGTTTAGAGAGAACGGTGTCGTCTTAGTGGCCCCTAATGTAATAACAAATGATTATTTTGCTGGAAGTGAATCAATCAAAACTAACTTTAGCTGGAAATAACATTATTCAAAAATCGCTATAAAGCCAAAACAATCTCTGTTACCGTAAATTGTATGTTTATCTTTGTAAAGCTGCTTTGAAACAATCTCCATTATTAAAAGCACTATATAAATGAAGAGGACTTGACTTGACATGGTTTGGGCTGCAGTTTCATGACTACCGAACCGTTCTGGAGGACCATGTGCAACTAATGCTTCAAACATCGTACATGAAGGGGGTGCCGTGTATCAGCATGATAATGCACCAATACACACCGCAAGACTTATGTCAGAATGGTTTGATGAACATGAAAGTGAAGTTGAACATCTCCTATGGCTTGCACAGTCAACAGATCTGAATATGTTTGAGCCAAATTGGGATATTTTAGAGGAGCCAGTCAGAAAACATTTTCCTCCACCAGCATTATATAGTGATCTGGCCGCTGTGCAGGACATGTATCTGTCATTCCCAAGACAAATTGATGCTGTACTGGCTGCAAAAGTAGGCCCTACACCGTACTAATAAATAAAACCATGTGTTTCAGTTTCATTGTCCAACCTGTTTTCATCACAGGAGAAGTCTGTCATTTTCTTTAATGAAAGTCATGAACATTTCCACTACATTTTGTAGTGTAAATAACATTTATGGAATTAAATATCAGATCACTAAAATGAGTGTTCCTCAGCACTGTGCGTATTTTTTGGATGCATTTTATGTATTCAAAATACACAGATAAATTATATATTTTTAAAAACATTTTTGACAATACTAGAGATTGATAAGAAATGATGGACGAAAATATTCCTTTCACAACAAGTCATATTTACCTCGCATTTGATTTCATGTTCGTCACTGACGCTGTTGTCTCCTTGCCACAAAGTTGACTTTTGAAAAAACTTTAATAGCGCTTGAAATTGTTAATCGCGGTGGGAATGACGCCACAACTAGGTTTTGTTTTAGTAAAATTACATAAATTATTATCATACAAAAATATGCTGAAATTATTTATTTTCTTTAACCTTTAATATTTAAAAACCAAACGTATAATAATGACGTATAAAACGTATAATAATAATAATAATTATTATTATAAATGCATTTTAAAAGTAGCAAAAATAAATCATGAATATATTTTAACGTGGCCTTCATAACAAAAATAAAAAAATAGGCTAATAATAATAAATCTGTGCGTTTAAATAAAAGATTTACTCCTGGAATAATAATACATACCCCGTATTTCAAGTCACAAAATTTGTATTATTACTTAGACTTTACTCTGGTATTTTGGCCGAGATTATCGAGACCATGGTAGTTGTTTTGTGAGGGACTGTCCGGTCGTCCGGTGACGCTGGTGTCCCACATGACAGAAAGTTTCTCATATCTCCCCCTCGCGGTTCATGAATTCAGTGATGGTGGAAAATGGCGGCTAGATGAGTCTTTCCACTCCTACAGAGAAAAGAAAAAGTGTGTGGAAAAACTCTGGATATATATATTTGGAATAGCGACAACAACACTCACGGGCGTCTCACAACACCTTCATCAGTGAGGATGTCGCGCTGGGTGCCCACGAAGAAAGAGAAGTACGGAGTAGGTGAGTAAAGAAGGAAACTTGCATGAACTAAACTTCTTTTAGTCCTGTTACAAAAGTTTGGGGACAAATGGTGAGATTCCATATTTCCATGCCAGTTTAGACTATTTGAGGATGTTTTGTGCTGAAGTGATTTTATGATTGTGGGTCAGTGTAATCAATGCGCTATTAATGTTATATATTTGAGATGTGTGTGTGTGTGTGTGTGTGTGAGATTGACACAGACGCGCCTAGTTCCAGTGTTTCCTGCGCGGCGGCCTGAATGGAGCTCATGGATACATTGTTTCTCATTGTTACTCGCTCGCTGATACTTTGTAACAAGTTTTCCCGCTGTTATGTTGTAAGAACATTTCGTGCTAGTTGTATTTTCCCCCGGAAGATTCTTTACACCCGCTGCTGCTTTCATTCGCCCGATTGTTTTGTTTGTATTTCAGGGATCCCACTGTTATTATAACCTGGACATATTAGAATATTTAAAAACCGTGATTTCCAGTCACAGATTTACATACATGACCTGAAATATTTCATTGGATACTCACTGATAGCCTACTGAGTATTTTATCTCTGTTATACTTTTAAATCCATATCCAGAATCATAAATACGGGGAAAGTCCAAAATGCGTGGGAAGCCTGATGTAAACAAACTCATTTTATTGGGTTACTATAAACGTAATACTATTCGGGCTACGTTTATTTGTTCTTATCCTGGTGTTTTAAAGAATGAATGTTGTGAATTCAAATATTGTGTAAAAAAAATTTTAAACAGCAATTTTGTGCAAATATTACATTTAACTACTCTCTAGATACTTCCTTCTTATTGGTCTGCACTGAACATCTTAATTTCATTTATCACAGGCAACAGATTGCCAACATATCTGTGATTTCATTTTTCATCATTCCTGATGAGCTTCCTTATGACTTGCTGTACATTTAAGTCAGGAAAACTACTACTCGCTGGATTGTATGTGTCCAAACATGTTTAGAAGTAGATGTTAACCAAGCACATCCGCAGTAAAGGAAAGTTGAACTATTTTCCAGGCGTTTCTTCCTTCTCGTATATAATGATAGACTGGATTGTTGTCACGCTACGGTATGTTACCTCATTCCTCCAGCTGTGATTGACGGCTCTGAGTTGACATGTCATTATTAGTCGTGACATTTTCCTAACTGAACTGTTTCCTTTAGCAGCCATAATAGTTAGTTTACACAAATAAGTTCACTTAGAAAGTTCTTGAGAAGGAGGTTTTCAGACTTTATAGGGATGTTTTTGAGATATAATAGAATCTTAATCCCATCTCAACTGGAGAAGAACTTTATGGTTTGCATTAAATGTTGGATCAGTAGGATCTTTTATCGGCAGCAAACTCAGTCTAGCCCATAATTCTGGATTTATCTGCTCTCCTTGATGGAGACTCAAAATATCTCCAGCGTTCATGTTAGATAGAAACTTCTGTTCTGCTTGAGTTATTCAGCTCTTTTGAAATATTGTGGTCTTTACCTGTTTGTGTTGCTCAGTGCTTTTATAGCGACTTCCACTCTGAGCGCAAAGGAGCACGAGGCGGTGTGTAGAAATGTCTAGTCTTTGTTGTGTGTGTGTGTGTGTGTGTATTTTTACCCTGAGGGTGGTTGAATTTCACTTTGTTGAGTTTAAATAGTTTTGCCTCTGTATTGGTGTAATTTAAATTCTCAAGTGCACTAGACTGAGGTGAAGCTACGACACTACGACAGGTAAAAGAGCACATTTCTGTGTGCTGCTCTCTTGATAGACTAACTGTTAAAAGTGGCATCGTTTTCTGTCTGCCTCCAGATTATATAGACCTATACACCAATGATTGATTGATTGGATTTATGCATTTATTTACTGACTTAATTATATAGATACTAGTCTTCTTCTTATCCCTTGCATCGTTCCTTGATACACCATGATGTGTTGGTGAAATTTCAGAATGGACAGGTTGTTTTGTGTGTTTTCCCTTTTCTCCCTATATAAACATCCAATTTAGAATTACAAGCATTTTTCAAAACATCTTTTCTGTATATAAATTAATTATTCAGTGATGAACTAATGTAGCGAGTGAGGCATGCAGTCCAAAAAAATCTCTCAAAGTCTGATCAAACAAGTGCTTAGAGGAGACACTTTTGAGATTCATATTAATAACACAATGTGTCGTCTTGACCTGCCACTTGTGACCAGATCGACTGAGACTCATGCATGTTTTGCTACGTTCACGCCATGTCGTAATTAGCGTAATTTTGAGATGATGACGTGATATTTTACTCAGCTGTTCATGTGCTCGGACTGGGAATTATGCGTTTTTATGGCAGCATTATCAATGCTTAAATGAATCTGCATCGGTCAGGTGGTACAAGTAGCCTGGTAATACCAAACTCTGCTACTTCGCTTTGCTTCGTAGACAGAGTCTGGAATGGCATAATGGAAAAGTGTTTATTTTCTCGCGTCGGGGCGCTTCTGAAGTATAAAATCATTGGTTACCTGTAAGCCAATCACAAAACGCAATCACCTCTCTCTCCAACTTAAACATTACCTCCATTCAAAATGTTTAACAAACACTCTTCTTGTTCGGGCTTCAGTTTGCAAATGCCGGGAATATTCTCCACAACAGAGCGAATTGCATCTCGTGTCTCCATATCCGCGGTCGTTTTCGATTTCCCTAACCTACAATACAATCTTAAACTCGATGCTTAGCGTCTACGTCACGGCTCTCAGCCCGCCCTCTGTTCGTTGATTGGCCGGCTGTTTTCAGGCCGGAGGAAAACTGAGAGATGGGTCGCTATCTCAGACTGAGTACAGAAGCGAACTGAAAATGAAATCACATTGTAATTGCGAGCTCTACGAGGACTTCTTGTAATTACAGTAATTATGATATGGAAGCACGTTTAACACCAGGTGTAAACAGGGTCTGAGAGTCGTTTGACTAGGGGGCTTTGGGGGTTTGAGTCATGTGACAAAGGGGTTTGGGTGTGTCTTGATTTAGAAGTCTTCAGCAAAGTTCAAAAACAAAAGCTCATAAAAGTGCATGGTTGTTTATATCTGTCAGTTTATGATTTTGAGTTGTGACCGTAATGGGTTAATTTCACGTCCTCTTTTTTTTTTTGGATTCTCTACACACCTCCGTCTCTCTGCATGAGTAAGTCCTGTGGTATTTGAGGAAGTGTTTTCTGAAAGAGGTGTGCTGCGTACTCGCTGCCGTCCCGTAGGAGTTTCCAAAGCAGTTTAATAGGCTTTGTGTGTGTTAGTTGTTCCATTCATCCAGGCCTTGAGGAGAATAGAAGTGAAGTTTGCTTTGAGGGCTCTGCGGAAAGATGGCTGGCTGAGAGAGATGGAGGCATTGTGTTGATGCATGAACAATAAAACGTGTTGTCTAATTACTCTTTGTGCACAGGCTTACCACATGAAACCTTTCAGATATGTACATGCATATGTCCTTAATGAAGATGGGGGAATATTTATTTTTCAGCTGGTTTTAATGATCTGTTATCTAGGCCTGTAGCGGCGCGTCGATGACGTCGACGCTTCGACGTCAAAAGTTCGTCGACGTCATATTTTTTTGTCGACGCTTCTTTATTTATTTATGTATTTATTTTTTTGCACCGTTCCCGGCGGTACAGCTCGCCACACACACGTGGGAGACCGAAACATTGCAGAATCGAGGACGAAACATCAACCTCTTCACAGAATTCACAACAAAGCCATGCAAAAGTCCCAACAAAAGAAAAAGTCCTAAAAAAACCCAGCTCGCACTAAATCATCGAAGGTATGGGAATACTTCAAATTTAGTACCAAACGTGAAGGTGTCGTTATTTGCGCTCTTTGTCAAATGGAGTTGACATCCCAAGTCTCCCGCATAGTGATAGCGGCTCCCTGATGCCCGCAAGTTAGTTAAAATCTCCCGGAATCTAGAGCTCGCGAGCTCCAAACCGTGTAGCGCGCGCAGCGAGGGAGAGAGCGAGAGACCTTGCGCGTGTGTGTGCAAATGTGCGTGTGTGCCTTATGAAGCGCATGTAAACCCCACCCCCGTCAACAAAACCGAAAAATCAGTCCGGATGTTTTTTATGAGCACTGAAAACATTAAAATGAGCACCACATCCAAGTGTGATAGGGCTCATTTGAGTAGCCTACCAAACATTTTACAGTGTAGATACTCTGTAAGAACCAGATCAAAATTGTTGTGCATTGAATGTGCACTCCTGCAATTTCCATGTTACAAAAAAGAATCGTTCAATTAGTCGTTAGATTAGTCGACTAATCGATAAAATAATCGACAGACTAATCGTTTAATTAATAATCGTTTACCCCAGCCCTACTGTTATCTGCGTTTAGTCATTATGTATTTGTTCTAAGCTGTTTTTTTTTTTCTAATCAGAGGAAATATTGTTTCAGCCGAACAGCCATTGTAGCCACATAGATTCAAAATGTTTTTTGTTTTAAATTATAAAATAGTAAAAGTTGCAAATAATCAAGGTGTTTTTCGCACAGTGAGATTTTTTTTTTTCATCAGTATAGCAGTACATGCGTTTCTACAGCTACATATATATATTTTTTTCTTAATATTGCTTTTTAAAATATGAGAAATTTAGAATATGAGAAATCACATTAATCATTGTGATGATCATAATTAAGTTAATCTAATTTATCAGAATTGATATGTAAACTCATTGTGAATCCATCAATTAATATTAAGTATTTTGCCCAGAAAGATTAATGTCCATGTGCCTGATATTCCACATTTTCATAATTTTAGTGTTTGAATCATTTCTGAGGTCCTGTTTCCTTGTCTTGCTTTGGTTAGTCGTTTCATTAACCTGATGCATGTGATGTGACTTTCATTGTAGTTTGTTTCCTCAGGTTTGACTTGTGTCTGTCTGGCATATTTTGTTGCATATCTAAAGCACTTTACAATATGCTTGCCAATGAATTAATACTTGCACTATTTTGGATGATTACATACCTTTCTGATTTAAGGCGTGGAAGTAAACATCGG